GGTGAGTGATATTAATTGGATTTGATAGTGGGCTAAAGAATTTTAGAAATGAAAATGAAATGACAACTTTTCAATATTGTTGGATGCGTTCATAAACATTTATTTTATTAAAATATATATTGCGTTCAAATTATCAACCAAGTACGACCGGTTGTTTTTGCGTCCACCAACAGCAAAAAATTAAAAAACTGTGGTATCTTACCCCAGCCAGTTTGGGAATTTTAGCTAGTTCTTGAATCAAATGAATCAGTCCGATTCAAGAGGTTTTTGGATCGATTCAGTGAATCGATGCGGTGCTTCGAATCGATCTAAAAAATCGATAATTTTACTCCAATTAATCGTCACGTCGATCTAAAATCGATTTATCGATTTTAGATCGACATGCCTACTATACAATTTAGTATAGCTATGTATAGCTTAGGGATTGCAAGCACACATCCTTCAAATTATCGATATCGATGTTTAGTGATGTTCTTATTTTATCGATATCGACATAAGTGCATTATACAGGAATAATAGAAACAATTATAATCCATCCACCTTATTTATTTTTTATTCAACCACACCAACATCATATACATACACATAATCTTAGGATTAAATTAAAGACACATTAAGTTATATAAACAAATTAGAAAATAGTACATAACATTTTACATAAATAAGTACAATTATGACTTAATGATAATCATAAATTATATATTATTTATATTAAGGTAACAAAGGGTGGTTTCATGGCAGTTGGCATTTTTTATTGGTCAACCCATGGTGTGGTGAAAATAAAGTGGTAGATGCAGTAAATAAGAAACAAAAACACATATAAAGATTAACATTGTACACATCTATTATCAGGAGCTTTCTCAATGTCTTCAGGCACGGAGTTCCCAATAAGTGTAACCTTAATTAATACTAAAGAAGTTGTTGATAAAACCATTGAAGTGTAGTGGAACTGTAATCTTTAGATTAGATGAAGAACAAAGAACTCTTATCGTAATTTAAGGATAGATATGCTGAATATAGATATAATAGATATGTTGAAACTTACCTAATTATTTTTTCTAAATTCTAAATTTCTAAATATTTTTTCTTTTTGCCAATGTGTACATTTTGTATCTTCTGTCAACATTTGTGGTGAGACCACATCAGCATTAGATTTCTATTCTTGAAAACCAACAATATTTGTGAATTTTGCTCTTTAAAGAATAAATATATAATGTATACTTTTGTATTGTACGTATTAACGCTGTATGGCTACTGTTAACGACAGTTTAATATAATCGTAATTAAAAAGTGGTCTATATTATCATATAAATCGTAATTAAAAAGTGATCAAACAATTTGTTATTCAGAATTTTATTATAGCTAGTTGTGCAATTTAATTCCCTTCATAATTTTGATTAATTATGATGAATATAGTGGCATCATACATTTCAAAGAGTATTTAGCTACAACCAAAACAATTTGTTATTTAGAATTTTATTATAGCTAGTAGTGCAATTTAATTCCCTTTATAATTTTGATTAATTATGATCAATATAGTGTCATCATACTTTAAATTAACGCCAAATGTAATACTTAACTCACAATAAATATATTGAACTTATTTAAGAATATTTTGACTTTAAGCTTCAACCTTTTGTAATTAAACTATTAATAGCTTATGTACCTACATCTTACTTAAAGCTAGGCTAATATTATTTCATGAATACTGCTATATAGCTAGTTTTGTTGTTAAATACAAGTACTTACTATGACTAAGATTAAACCAAAAATATACCAAATATACCTTTTTATATCAATCCTACATAATAAGTTTTAATAGGTATAAAAAAGTAATTATAATTATCTCAACCCACCAAAGAGCTAAATAGAAAAACAAATTTATAAAAAAGTAATTTGTAACAAATCATTTACTCTGATTCGTACTGCTAACTTGAGTTGCGTGATTTCAACTCGAGTTAAATCAATTCGTAATTTTTCAAAGTTGGCATCTATAAGATCAGAATCCCTAATATTCACTTCACTTAGTTGTTGTCGTTTTAACTTTCATTAATCGTTTCACCATTTCGTTTCATTATTAACCACAGCTTTTTTTGCAGATTTTTTACTGATCCTGCATTTATATATTTAAGTAATTATAGTAAAAAAATAGCCTGTAACTGTGTAATAATAGTGAAAAATCAGCTGTTACAGTGCAGCCAATAGATAATCTCACTTTTACTTACTCTACAATTACTCAGTTCCTACATTAACAAATCTTGCGAGATTTTCAGCTATGAATTGTCTATATATATGCTTACAAATCATCATCATTACAGCCCTTTACAAGTCCACTGCTGAACATAGGCCTCCCCCAAGGTATGCCACAAAGCACGGTCCTGAGCCACCTGCATCCATCGACTTCCTACATCGACTTCCTTACCAGGTCGTCACTCCATCTAGTGGGGGGTCGGCCTACACTTTGTCTACCTGTACGAGGCTGTTACTCGAGAACCTTTTTTCTTCAATGGTTGTCGGTTCTTCGAGCTATACGGCCGGCCCATTGCCACTTCAGCTTACTAATAAATTATTTACGTGGTAGAGCCATGCTGCAGTTATATTAGTAGTAAGGGTGGGGAGGAGTCGAATAGGTGAAATGTGTGTTGAGCGGAGACTTTTTATGGAGACATTTTGGGGCATTTTCGTAGAGGAAGATAGAGTTGGGACAGCAACCACTTACCATCAGGTGGATGTGTGCTCGTTTGTCACCCTATCCTATAAAAAAAAACTAATCCGTTGGGCTATGTCGTCACTCTGGTTCTACTGCGGATATCCTCATTTCTAAGTTTATCACGCAGAGAAACTCCGAGCATAGCCCTCTCCATAGCTCGCTGAGCGACTTTGAGCGTCCTCATACGGCCAGCAGTGAAGGACCACGTCTCAGTTCCATATGTCATCACTGGCAACACGCACTGGTTGTACAACTTAGTTTTCAGGTTTTAAGGTATACCTGACGAGAAGATGAGTTGTAATTTCCCAAACGCTGCCCAGCCGAGTTGAATCCGTCGATTGATCTCTCGGTCGAAGTTGGCCTTACCTAGCCGTACTATTTGTCCCAGGTAAACGTACTCGTCAACAACTTCGAGCTTAGTGCTCCCAACAACTACCGGCATAGGTGTGACATGGACATTAAACATGATCTTTGTTTTGTCCATGTTCATCTTAAGACCTATCCGTTGGGAAGGCACTATTGAGGTCATTGAGCATAGTGCTTAAGTCCTCCAGCGATTCTGCCATAAGGACTATATCGTCGGCAAATCGAAGGTGAGTGATGTACTCGCCATTGATCCTTGAGTGATGTACCGTATCCTTTCCAGTCCAGTAGCTTGAAAACGTCTTCCAATGCAGCGGTGAAGAGTTTCGGGGAAATAACGTCACCCTGTCTTACACCTCTCTGCAGTTGGATAGGTTTCGTACTCTGGTTCTGTACTCGGATAGCCATCATAGCCCTACTGTACAAACACTTCAGCACTTCGATATACCGACAGTCAACTTGGCACCGCTGAAGAGACTGTAGCACCGCCCAAATTTCGACGGAATCAAAGGCTTTCTCATAGTCCACATACGCCAGGCAAAGTGGCAGATTGTACTCTTCGGACTTCTGTACAATTTGCCGAAGGGTATGTATGTGGTCTATGGTACTAAAGCCTTTTCGGAAACCGGCTTGTTCGGGACGCTGGAAGTCGTCGAGTCTGCGTGCGAGACGATTCGTAATGACTCTCGAAAACAGCACGTAGACGCGGCTCAGAAGGGATATCGGTCTGTAGTTCCTCTAGAGGGCGTTGTCACCCTTCTTGAAGAACAAGACCACCGCACTTCTGCTCCACGCCTTCGGAGTAGTGCCACCATGGAGGACGGAATTAAAAAGAGCCTCTGAAGGACTTCAAGTACCGGTTTTCCACCCGCTTTCAGAAGCTCCGCTGTAATTCATCCTCGCCCGGGGACTCGCCGTTTTTAAGGTGCTGGAGAGCCATTCTAATCTTGCTCAGACTGACGTCTGGGATATCATCGGAATAGTGTTGGATAAGACCCGCTCTTGGATCGTTACTCACACTTGTGTGTGGCTCCAACGATGATCTGTACAGCTGCCCATAGAACCTCTCAATCTCACTCAGAATCTCAGGTGTCCCGGAAACGATGCTGCCACACTCAGTCTTCAGCTTTGACAGTTGGCTCTTACAGGCAGACAGATCTCTGGCAAAGACTTTGGAGCTCTGGTTCCGCTCAACCGCTTCTTCAATACGAGCAGTAAATGCTTACAAATGGTCGTACTTTTATCTTGTTAATACTTGGGCCCAAGAATGTATAGAGACGTCTCCTCCTTTAAGTACCATGGTTGAAAGTAATAAAATGACTCACCTGTTGCAGTCAGAGGCACACCATGAGCTATTTCATTATCAGTAAGCAAGGATGGGTAAGAGTATTGAAGTCTTCTGCCTTCATTGCCGAACTGAAATATATCAAAATGTTTTCCACAGACTCGTTTATTAAGTAACTGTTCTTTGGAAAGTAGAGCTGGGGATTTGTCGGCACTATGAACGACATCCACAAGTTTCTTAAATTATCGTTCCTAGGGAATCTGAAAAGCCGGTGCGTTTCACGTGTTGTATTGCAACCACCAACACAACACTTTTCATCTACCATTATGATGGTATATGCAATATTCACACGAGCAGCACAAAAACAGAATATTGTAATTATTGAGGAAAATTTGGATAAATAATGGCGGCAATCAATATCGCTATTTTTGATTTTTGACAATATGATTTGACATTAACACAATATGGCGTCTCAAAATGGCGTCCGTAGGCAGAGGACAAATTGCGACGGTAGCGCCAAGTTGCGTAGAATGGAACTAAGCTGTCACGGGCCTGTGTGCATCGAAGGAGACTGCAGTAAATAGTTGTTCAGTGAGTGATTTAGCAAGTTATACGTTACTGATTTGTGATTTTCTACAAAAAATGGAAGATTTTGATGATGATTTGGACTACGAACTATCGCAATTAGATTTATCAGAGTATAATCAAGAATGTAACACATTATCGAATAGTGATACCCTACAAGTATTTGACGTTGATCTCAATGAGACAATATCAATCGCACGCACCAAAAATCATCATCGATGGCAGATTTTATCTGACAGTGAAGATGATCAGATTCCCATATTACCGCCCTCACGAAATACAGAAGTATGGTTCATTCCGTTGGGTAAGCAATCAAGCATTATTCCATATACTGAATGTCCTGGGCTTAAGCCATTTTCATTGCGATCCAGCATGAGTTCAGCTAAACCAGCAGAATTTTATTTATTGTTAGTACCTGATAGTATATTCAAGTACATAGCCGAAGAAACAAATCGCTTTGCTTTACAAACCTTGAACAAAAGTGCAACAAAATCATACCGAATGCAGAAATGGATGCCTACAGATTGCCATTAAATTAAACGCTTCTTTGGAGTTTTGATTTGGATGGGGATAATGAAACTACCCCAACTAACTTTGTACTGGAGCACCAACAAATGTTTTGAACAACAATTTGTTAAGTGCATTATGAGCCGAAATCGATTCGAACTCATATTGAGGATGTTGCACTTTGCCAATAATGAAAAAATCACAATAAGGACTACCGATTGTTTAAAGTTAGACATTTATTAGACATGCTGAATGCTAATTTTAAATGTCATTATACACCTAATCAAGAAATGTGTGTTGGCGAAATTCTTATTTCATTTCGTGGCCGCGTTATTTTTAGGCAATACAATAAAAATAAGCGACACAAATATGGAATAAAACTTTTCAAGCTGTGCTCAAATCCAGGATACACTAAAAGTACAAGTTTATGCTGGCAAAAACTATGATGATGTGAATACTACACCGACTAATGTTGTCCTTGCCTTATGTGACTATTATCTAAATAAAGGACATACTGTTTGCACAGATAATTGGTATACCAGTTTGGATCTAGCACGAAAACTATTAGCAGGACAAACTCACCTCATAAGCACACTTAGAAAAAATAGACGAGGTTTACCTCAAACAGTTGTCCAAACCAAACTGAAGACAGGAGAATTATCAGCTCAAGAAAATGACGACGGAATAACAATTATGTAGAGGAAGGACAAGCGCGATGTACTGCTGCTTTCTACTAAGCACTCCGTTAGTTTCAGAAGAATAACTAAAGAAGGAAAAGAAAAAAGAAGATTGTGCTAGATTATAATCATGCGAAATCAGCAGTTGATCTATCAGACCAAATGAAAAAAAAAACCCTCTTCGGAAGACAATGAAATGGCCCAAGAGATTGGCGATGGAGCTATTACTGAATACAGCGATTGTAAATACATATATTTTATATAAATTAACAACCAAGAAGAAGCTCGATGTCGTCCAGTTTAGAACAGCGTTGGTTGAATACCTTGTGAATACAGGAGTCCCGGAAACTAGAGCCTCCGCTAGACCTAGGCGAGTAAAGCATGAATTGAAGAAGAGGCAAGGGTTGGCCTCTGCCTGTCGTAAATATTGTGTTAGGATATAAAGAAAACTGTGCCCAATTCGGAAGAGTTCATGCTCGAAATAAAACCAAAAGAGTGGTAACATACTGCGAGGATTGCCCGAATGAGCCACACTATTGTATCAACTGTTTCAATTTAGACCATAGATATGTTTGAGTTAAATGTATTTGAACATGATGACTGATGTAGGTTTGATTTATTATGTTGCCAATGCCAATTTAAATATGAATAAAAGCATTTAAAACATTTACCCACACGTATCATTTGCAAAAAACTAACCATTTTTCTTATCACTCTTTTGTTTTCGAAACTTCTGATTACAAAATTGATATTACTCAAAATGTAAGTAAAAGTATTGATGCCATCACTATAGTTATAATTTACCAGGCCTTGTCAACCATATTACATACAGTTTAACATGAAAAACGTGGCTGACGACGAAAAATCGCACTTTCAAAACATGCATATTCCGTCAGCCACATATGGCTGACACGGCTCTATTGGTTTGGAAAATGTCAGCCATATGTGGCTGACGAGGCATTATATGTAATAAGGACCGGGCCGACCAAACAACAAGGTCGCTGCGTGCGTAACGTGTTTTATCCCGGACGGGGCGGGACGTGAAATTTTGGAAATAATGTTTCATAGAAAATGTACGTGATATAAATGTACGCATACGTAACGGATGTACGAACGGGACGGAGACGCGGCATGAACGGAACGGGAAAAGTATAGTCGGCGACGATGTTTACGCCATCCCGCCCGGGGTGTGCCACGTCCCGTCCGTCGGTCCGTTGGCTACGCAGTGCGCGTGTTGTACCGAACGAAATGTACGACGAAAACTAATTTAATGTGTATGATCATGTCCATGTTTGTATAATCTTGCACAACATATTGACCACAAAATATAAACAATTTTTGTTAGTTTAAATTTTATCTTCCATTTATGTTGTCATACGAAAATAAATATGAAATCGAGTCTTGTCATCCAAATTTTCTTTGTAAAGAGTGGTATGAGTACCAGTAGTGTGGTATGAGTACCAGAAGTGTGGTATGATTAGTAGGTGATCCTTCTAGTGCTGTTTCCTGCCACATATGATGTACAGAAGATCTCTTTTTATTCTTGACTGTTGTAGCTTCTCTTTCATCTGAAGCAATAGCAATTAATGCCAATTCTTCAAATGAAAAATACATCTTTCACAACACTAGCACATTATTTTCGAAGCACTGTCACGGTGCGTATGCATTAAACTCTCGTTCGTGTTGACATACAACCACATTCCGTCTCTGTCCCGTGCACTTGCTGATTCCGTCCTGTATGCAGCGACCTTAAAACGGACCAGTGTGCTGGCCCTAAAATGGCAGTTTAGGGCCAACGCGAATCGATCGACAGTGGTGTGGGCGCAGGGCAGATTTGCTTGTCATTAATATGTCTCGTTGCGTGGTAAAAGGATGCAAAAATTACGATACACAGATTAAAAAGGTACATGGGATATTGTATCATCGGTTAATAACTTTTACCTTGACTTTACTAAACAAATTTTTAAAGTTTTATTTTACTGTTAGTTTAGTTACGTTACCAAGATTAGGCCAGGATCAGATTCAGACCCTCAAAAATATTGTACGTGGAAAATAAAATTATACTATTTTTAAAAAAATTATATCACATTTGACGTTTCATGTTCCTTTTTTCCCATGTCACGCGTCTAGTTAATCTATATGTTAAGTTTTTTGATAGTTTTATTTTTATTTCTGTTTTATTTTTGTCTAAGGAATATAGTGTAAGTTAAATTTTGAATATTGGTATGTAATACATTTTATATTCAATAAGGGTAAAACGAAAAGAGTTCAAAAGAAATCATATCTGCTTAATTGAATCTGAAAACTCATTCATAAAATATTTTGAAATTCTGTTTTCAAATCGATTGCTTCTGGAGTATAGAGTTTTTATCTTGGTAGGCCCTCATTATAGTTGTATTAAGGATGCAAGATAAATGCATTGGTCGAGCACCGATTGACCAGAAAGAGAGCTAATTCTAATTTTATTAAAAAAAACGCGGTACTCATGTACAATACAGAAATTGTCGGTATTGTAGGGTTAATATTAAAATGTAAAAGAACCCAATAATAATACAAGTAGACCTTATTGTAAAATTATGCTATTTTCACTTAGTATTAATAAGATACTATATCCAACAAACTATGAAATAATGGTATAATTAGGATAATTATACGAGTACTATGAAATCCGACCTTGGTTACGCCTTGTTATGACATGACGTTTGTATTATGACAGATGCACTACTTTTTCTTGTATGAAAAATTATGAGTCAAATATTTAGATGGCCCTATCCTTCCTTTTGGAATCATTGTTAATACCCGATATTTCGGGGATTGAGGTGACTGATGTTCCGATGTCAAAGTTAACCCGGAGTAAAATCTAATGTAATGGTTGCGATCATATCTTAGATGGCTTCAACCATTACATCAGATTTGATAGACCACAAATCCTCACGAAAGAACATCGATTCCTACCAAGGATGATACATGAGGCTATTGAAATTAAAAAACATCCTAATTTCAATAGAGAAGGTGACTGGGTACTACCACCTGCTTGGGACCCTATAATTAATAAAATTAAAACTAAACCCAAGCATACCACTGCAAGACTTCAAAACACAGTTCATTCTGCGTAATAATTAAAAAGCTGAATCTACTCTGGGTTAACTTTGACGTCGGGACCTCAGTCACCTCAGTCTCTCGTGACCATGGGTGCTGGAAAGCAACCGAAACATCGGTTATTAAAAATAAAATAAACAAAATGCAATAAAATCTGTAAAAGTAGTTTTAATCATTGCAAATTAAAGTTGTTATAACTGGAATAATATACATATATAACTTACCTGATATAAAATTCGATAGATCAGGGTTAGACTAAGGTGCAGCATTAAATAAAGTGACAAATACAACCAGTACCTGAAAAACATCAATTAGGCTGGAATCCTATGTCGCACTAAAATTACCAGTAGTTTTACCCCCTTAATGCCGTTCTATTGAACTATTAAGTGAGTGCACATGTGCTTTAAGATGTAGAAATTACCTCTCCCATATTTCTATCAGACTGAGAAATCAGAAGAGGTAATAATTTGCACATGTGCTTGCTTGCACACACATGTAATATAATCCTGTACTTCACTGTGAATAGTCTCCGTTGTGACCAAATTCTGTCTGTAGGTCATTATTATCATCATTTTATATGTAATAGAGTTATGCTGCAGCTATATTGTGGTTGTGTCACGGATTGGTCAGCTCGACTGGGGTGGTACCATGCTCTTACAGAACATCATCATAAAATAGCAGCTAATGCTGTTTTGTATGGTGAGTGTAGAGAATGGGAGACCATATATTATACTGGTGGCGAAATTTAGAATCTTGCTCCTCCAAATTGAGGATAAATTAGATGTCCATGGGCTGCAGCATTTATTTGCCATCAAGTGAACTGTGTACTTGTTTACTTAAATCACCCATAAATTCTATAAAAATATAACATTTAGCAGGCCAGCAGTTGAAACAACTGATATAACTGTATTCTGGTATCCAATCTGTTGTAAAATTAGTTTATGGTTTGAGCTGATATCACATTAGTTGGCAGCTTGTTCCTTACTTCAACCACTTTACCTATAATAGGTGAGTTATTAGGTGACATGGCTTTAATCAATTTAAAGTGAAGATCATAGTGTCCGTGTATTATTTTAGGTGTTTCAATCAAGTCTAATTCTCTGTGATCTTTCAGAGTTGTTAGTTTAAGTGTTTTCAGACTCCTCATACTAGATGTTATCAATGCTCTGGGAACTTTTCAATATCTGCCTCGAACCTCCAGTAACTCAATATAATTTGGAAGACATGTTCCAAAATAGGTTATAAAACATT